TGAGCCAGGCTAAAACCTGTGCGGATAGTGATTTGTGAAGCTTCATTAAAAGATTAGAAAATTTTGCTTCGTCAACAGTTTCCGAGGAGGAAAAAAATGCCTACTCCGCTCGCCAAAATGAGGTTGACGCATTGCTGAGTGAATTGCGAGACCGCTGAAATAATTTAAGTGAGGAGACGAAACTAGAAAATTATTGAAACAATGCCATTCGTAATTTCGCTAATTGATTAGCCGAGGCCGAAAATCTCCAACTGGCGGCTGATGACCCCTGGCAAAATTTCCCGACAGCCATTAAAGAACACACAACCCAAGAAGCGATTGAAAACCAGGAAAAAGAAGCCTATCAGCATATTTTAACCCAATTCAAAGCAAAAGTCAAACAAGAATTAGGAGCCGCCCAAAAGGATGGGGAATACTCGCCAATCGATGATAGCCAGAACTTCATCGCCGTAAAATCGGCCCGAACCAGCATTAAGCAAAGCCGGGAAAACTCCGATTCATCGGACAATAACGAAAGGGGGAAAAATCCCGTTGACAACAACAAAAATCAAAAAAATAAATTCGACTATTCTCAACTAATAATGATTGCTGTTGCGATTGTGGCCGTAGCAACCCTAATTATAATGCTGACAAGCAGAACTTTGAAAAAATGAAAAACATCTACTAAAAAAAACAGGCACGAATAATTTATCTTTAAAAATAATAATATATAAATAAAAAAATTATACATGAACGATAATTATAATGGATTGGGACGCCGCAAAGAAGCAAACGCCAGAGTTTATTTAAAAGAGGGTACCGGACAAGCGTGGGTCAGAACCAACAGCGGGAAAGAAAAGAGTCTTCGCGATTATTTTTATATGGAGCCTTCGCTTTGCGAGGACATTCTTCAGCCGCTCAAATTGTTTAACAAGGAAAATGATTTTGACTTTTTTGCTCGAGTAAAAGGCAGCGGCCCGCAAAGTCAAGCCGGGGCAATTAGATTGGCATTGGCCCGGGCGCTATTAAAAGTTTCCCCGGAGTATAAAATTACTTTGAAAAACTTTTCTCTGCTAACGCGAGACTCCCGGCGAGTATGGAGAAAAGTAGTTGGTTCTAAAAAGGCTAACAAAGGCAAAAGATTTCACAAACGTTAGAATGGCTAAATATCTTTTGAATATTAGGCAGA